TGCGGAAGACGTGGCCCACGTACTTGAGCAGCTCCTCGTAGCAGCTGCCCGGCTCCGAGAAGCTGGCCAGCGTGCTGTCGTTGGACAGGTAGCGGGCGCGCTGCTCCCGCATCAGCTGGTTCTCCCGCTGCTTCGTCTCCGAGAACTGCGTGGCGATCACCACCAGGCACAGGTTGATCATGAAGAAGGAGCCCACCTGCAGGGCGACCGCGGGTGACCCCGGGCCTGGGAGCGGCCACGTCTGTGGAGCGCCCCCCCACCGCGGGGCCACCCACGTGGCCATCCCTCCTCGGGTCTGTCCCCACACGGCCATCCGCGACAGCTACGTGGTCCTTCCGCGGATGCCGCGCAGCCCACGGCCGGTTTTCTCCGTAGCCGCCCTCCCCGAACGGGGTCCTGGGTCAGTGCTGTGCCAGGGGCCATGCACTCCAGGGCTGGGCCGAAGGTCAGGCACACTGTGGGCTGGGCCGGGGGACGCCGCCCCCCCCACTCACGATGATGAGCAGGATGAAGTAGATGAAGTTGTAGAAGGAGTGGGCGTCCATGACGTAGTACATGATGTCCACCCAGCCCTCCAGCGTGATCACCTGGGGAGGGAAGCGCCCGGACACCGTGGCGGGGTGACCGGCACCACACCCTCCCGCGTGGGCGTGTCTCGGGGATCCCCGCCTCACACGCCCCGGCGCCCCCTGCCCCCCCACCCTGCGGTGCCCACCTGGAAGATGGCGATCCAGGCGTAGCCGATGTTGTCGAAGTTGATGGCGCCGTTGTGGGGGTTGAAGTCCCCCGAGCGGCACACGTTGTAGTACTGGTTCCAGTTGATGCAGGCGTTGCGGGCGGCGCCCCCGGCCTCGGCCTGCGGCTGCCCGTACGCCTCCCAGCCCAGCGTGCACGGCACGCGCAGCTCGCGGCGCCCGGGGATGTGTGAGCACTTCTGCATACCGTTGTCCCGGTGCGAGGAGCAGATGAACGGGTTCTCCTCCCCCTCCTCCGTCTGGTAATACGGCCGCAGGAACGTCAGGTTGTTGTTCCTGGATGGGGGGGGAGGCGGGGCCACGGTCGGGGGACGTGGGGCCTGTGCCCCTGTGGCGGAGCTCCACCTTCTGCCCCCCACACCCCCTCCACGGCCAGGGAGCCGCTGGACCTGCCCCGCCTTCTTCCCATGGCCAG